GATTTTCTTATGGCCGTTATTTCTTCGGGATCACTTTATGGAAACCATTGCAAAATTTGATTTGGTCTCTAATTCAAGAGGTATCTGGATCCTAGTGAGAAAAGGCATGCTTTGGGAAAGGAGTAAATTATGTGTTGAAGGGCATGGCACTAGAGTTGAAGTTAACTGAAGATAATTCTTGAAATAGTTCTTGAGCGAAATTATCATTCACTATCAAGAAGATGATTCTTGAATGGGACTCCTTGTGTCTGTCCTGGGTTAGACACTCCTGGAAGGAGCCTCTTTGAGCTCAGTCCAAGCTCTTATTTTTTTTTTTATCCTTTGTTTCTCAAATCGCCTCTTCCTTAAGCAGGTTGCCATCTTGGTGCCACAAGGTGGGTATACCTTAGGTGGGGTTCGTTATTCTGAATGACCTGGAGAATAACTTACAAATATATGTAACTTGAAATGGATTTAGTGTGAAGTTAAAATCTGATGTGATATGACAGTAGACAAACTTTCCAAACCAAATAAGATGAAAAATAATTGTTGAAAGCAAGCATTGAGGTCACAAAATTTAGACTTGTATAAATCTTTAGTTCATTCTTTATACAGAATGATTAGTGGAGATGTTTCCCTAGAAGTCCATTTCCTATCCAAGCAATGTAAGAATAATTAGGATAACTCACAGTTACAGAACAATGACTAAAACCAATAGGATTTTCATAACTAAAAGCAACTGGGCAAGCTATGACTTCAGTATCTGGCACTATAGGATTTTTCCTCCTTCCAGATGTCCTTAGCCAAGGTCACCCAGAATCGTGCAAGGACTGACACTTCTGGGTAGAGTTAATTTGTTGAATGCTTTAAAAAAGAAAAATCATATTAACAGATTGCTTTCCAGAAGCTGGTTTTATCATATGTTTTGGATATTGGTTTTTATATACATATGAACTTTACGAATCTCTTATCACCATAAATAATAGGCATTTTGTCTGTGGCATGCACTGTCTCAGTGCCTGGAAATTCTGAAGAACAAACCATTACATTTCCAAGATAAAGTTCGCTGTTAAATGTAGAAACTGTTGAGCTAGGGGTGATAAGAGAGGAAAATTTATGGGTCTGTCTATTTAGCTGTGGTTTTATTTATGGCTCTTAAGCTAAGCAGATTTAGGTCTGATTAATTCTGATATGAGGGATCCCCTGGAAAGCTCAAGAAGGCTTACTTTAAGAAGCGTCTGTCAGCAACGAAGCACAGGCTTCTTTCCTGTTCAGTGTGTATTAATATAACAGTATAAAACGCTCTGTAACATAAAGTGCAAGCACTGTCAAATTTATTTTTCTAAATCAAATTAAATCTGATTCTAAGCCACCACTCAACAAAGTTGACAAGTCTAATAATATTGGTCATATTTTATTTTTATTTTTTCGAGACAGGGCCTTGCTCTGCTGCCAAGGCTGGAGTGCAGTAGTATAATCATAGCTTACTTAGGTTCAAACTCCTGGGTTCCAGCAATCCTCCTGCCTCAGCCTCCCTACTCAGGGAGCTCCTATTCAGCTGGGACTACAGGAAAGTGCCACCATACTAGGTTAGTTTTTTTTTTTTAATTTTTGTTGAGACAGGGTCTCTCTATGTTATTCAGGCTGGTCTCAAACTCCTGGCCTCAAGTGATCCGCCTCCCAAAGTGCTACTTCGTGAACCACCATACCCAGCCATAATATTGGTCTTGTTTTAGGTTGCCTTCCTCTTCTCTTAGGCTGAAAATGACTATTGACTGTTCCCAAAACAAAGAAATGATAAATGTTTGAGATGATGGATATGCTAATTACCCTAATCTGGTCACTATATATATGTATCAAAACATTACTATGTACCCCCAAGACTCTGTATAATTATTGTCAATTTAAATTTTTTTTATTTAAAACAATTTATTTTTAAAGACAATGACAAGGAGAGCAGGGGCTCCAGCCGGAGCCGCAAGGGCCTCGGTTCTTCCTGCTGTCGCCCATTGTGACCCACTGTGAGACACCCCTGCTCCTGCCTCATGCTGAGATGCCCTCCAGTTCTTCTCCACTGACCAAGGACTTGGCTGCAGGCACCATGGCCATGACACTTGGTGTCCAGCCTCCACGGGCACGACGCAGCCTCCTCACATTTTAGATTCTGTTGTCTTGGTGGAAGTAGATGGAAGCTGGGCCTGATCACTGCCCCTCCTGGAACCATAAGCCCTATCTCCTCTCTAGGGGTTTCAGCAGCCCCACATCTCAGTAGGTTCACTGCCTTCTCATTCTCAAGGCCCCAAAGGTTCCATCTGCTCCCCTGGGGGGGGGGGGTTCCTGTTTAACATTCATTGATAGGACCTATCCTCCTTGACTCCATTCAGAGGAATCGATAATGCAGAGGACACCAACAACTCACTCTGTTCTAGTAACAAATGCCTCGGCAAGCCAGTGCTGCTACCTTGAAGACAAAGCCAAAACCAATTACCACAGAGAGAGCTGGAATGCTCCCAATTCTTTCTCTAACCCTTTTAGAAAATCACCTCCGTGGCTTAACCACATTCTGACTGAGGTTATTGCTATCCGATGCTTACTCAGACCATCCTCCACTTAATAAGCAGTTTAGTATTGAGTGTCTGATATGCAAAACACTGTGCTAGACGCTGTGGGAAAGACAAAAATGACAGAGACATGCTTGCTCCCTAATGACAGTTTGAAGTCTTGGAGGGGAGATAAGACATGACCACAAATAAATATGAAAAAAGTACCATCGGGAAGGTAAACACCAAGAGGCCTTGAAGTCCTGCCAAGCTCACTTCCCATGGTGCCAGTTAGGGGACTTTCCTGAAGCAGCTGGGACTTGGGATGAACCTCAAAGGCAGGATTTCAGGAGACAGAGACTTCCCAGCAGAAGTATTTGCAGATGAACCCTTATCATCTCTTGATCAATCCATCAGTCCAAGGGCACCAGTCCATCACTGCTGCTCAGAACACACGGGTTCGTTATGGCATCTTCCACAAAGGTGCATGTATACACCACCCTAGGGTTTGCCAGCTAGAGGCCTTGTAGGTACCATTCTCTCCTTTGGAGGCAAAAATGGAAGATTTCCATATGTTCACATCCAATTCATTCTGACCTCTGCAACCCTTATTATCATTTGTCCCATCCGGTGGGTCACCTTTATGTATTGCTGTATATCATGCTCAGAATCTAGCCCCTGTCATTATTCAACCTATGCAAATCTTCACTTCTTTTCTATAGGAACTGCGCAAAGCCTAGTTTATAAACAAGTATCATTGCTATGGCATGTAGGAGCCAAGGAAAACCTCCCTTTTACTCTCTGAAGGTTCACTGAAAATGACTGATAAGAGGAAGATTTGGCCGGGCATGGTGGCTCAGCCTGTAATCCCAGCACTTTGGGAGGCCGAGGTGAGAGGATTGCCTGAGCCCAGGGGTTCAAGACCAGTCTGGGCAACTTGGTGAGACCTCATCTCTATAATAACTCACAAAAACTAGCTGGGTGTGGTGGTGTGCGTCTATAGTTCCAGCTACTCGGAAGGCTGAGGCAGAAGGATCACCTAAGCCCAGCAGCTTGAGGCTGTGGTAGCCACGAGTGTGCCACTGCACTCCAGCCTGGGCAACAAGAGTGAGACTCCAACTCAAAAAAAAAAAAAAAAGAGAGAGAGAGAGATTAATAGGAAGAAAAGTATACAGATTTATTTGAAAATCACTAATAAGCAGCAAATTAATAAGAGAAAAGGCTCACAGACTTATTTGATCATAGTTTTACATGACATGGGAGCCTTCAGAATGATGACCCAAAGATACAGGGAAAGTTATCTATTTTTATGCTTAGATTCAACAAATTATGGACAGCTGTGCAGAAATGTGATTGAACAAAAAGTGTATGATCTAATGCAGGCATGTCCAACCCATGGCCCGTGGGCTGCATGCCACCCGGGACAGCGAGTAATGCGGCCCCACAAACCCTTTTAACATTATGTGCTTCTGAGCATTTATTTTCTTCATGATCCTATGGGTAGTTCCATTTTTTTAAGTTCACAATTACGCCTTATTCATGACATCGCTTTTTGGCTGCACATATATTTGTGAGCAGCTGTTTTCAATTATGAAGCACACGAAGAGCAAAATTTCAACAAACATTTTTGACAAGCACCTTGAAAATTGCTAAGAATTACAACCACTTCCATCAAGCCAGACACTGATAGATTAGTTTTACTAAAAACAAGGTCAAATGTCCCACTCGTTTTATATTGTTCTCCTTTTTCTAAACTTTATAATAAAAATATTTTAAGTCTCATTATGTGTATACACTGACTATATTATATAATTTATGTGAGCCCCAAGATAATTCCTCTTTACTCGATGTGGCCCAGGGAAGCCAAAAGTTTGGACTCTTCTGATCTAATGCTAACAGACTGAGTAGGGGAACCCAGCAAGGCCTTTCTCTAGATTCCTTTTGGCCTCTCTGAGCAGCCTTCCTTCCTTCTGGGTATGAGGCAGGACCCTGTCTGGAATGGGGGTCTTATGACCTGCAATCAGACAAGGTAAGTCAGACAATTTCTTTATGGCTAGTTTCTACACAGAAAGGCAGGGGAAATGTTAGAGTCATATTTTTAGGTTTTGTGGCTGGCTTTGGTGAACAGGGGTTCTGGTTTCTACAACCCATCTGGGGGAAGAGGGGTTCCAGTTTCCGTAGCTAGCCTCAGGAGAATGAAGGGCTAGAGAAAGGAGGGAAGGAGAAGGGTGAAGAGAGTTGCTTCTGAGGGCTCCATCTGAGGGTATCGTTTTCTGAGACCCTACGGGTGCTCACTCCAGGTCACTCCTGAAGTTCCACATGGCCCCTGGAGAAAACTCTCAGAAGCTGGCTATGCCTATCAGTCTTGGAGCAACGTGGCTTGAGCTGCGGGAGTCAGAGGGAAGTGCGTCCACACCTCCAAAGAGGCTCTGAAGTCAGGCTCTCCTGCTCCCGCCCCCAACTTGTGTTTGCCTGTTACAGATGGAGCTCTCGAAGGTCTTCTCTGGCCAACGGACATTCCTGTCTGTCATCCTCACCATGCTATCACTCAGCCTCTCCACAACATCCCTGCTCAGCAACTACTGGTTTGTGGGCACACAGAAGGTGCCCAAGCCCCTGTGCGGGAAAGGTCTGGCAACCAAGTGCTTTAACATGCCACTGCCCTTGGATGGGGACATCACCAATGCAACAACCCAGGAGGTGGTGCAATACAGCTGGGAGACTGGGGATGACCGCTTCTCCTTCCTTAACTTCCGGAGTGGCATGTGGCTATCCTGTGAGGAAACTGTGGAAGAACCAGGTAGCTTCTTCACCCCCTCTGCCTGATTTTGGGGGGTGGGGGGAAGGGAAGTGGGGGTGGGGGACAGGGGATCTTATGCAGGCAGGAAACAGTTGGGACCACTTAGGGTGAAGGAGGCAGCCCTGGGAGGTGTAGCACCCCCTCACACACACCCCAGGGGGCCACACCTCCCTCCCCAGCATGACCTCCGCATTGTGTCCTTTCTCCATAGGCATCCCTTTAATTAAGGTCAAAAGTCTTTCTAGCTTTTCACCTTCTCCCTCTGCAATGGACTTGTTGGTTCAAAATAGCATGTTTAAAATAGCACTAACCAGCCGGGCTCGATGGCACAGCCTGTAATCCCAGCGCTTTGGGAGGGTGAGGTGAGTGGACTGCCTGAGCCCGCGAGTTCGAGACCCGCCCGGGCAACTTGGCAATACCTCATCTCTACAATAAATCAAAAATCAGCCAGGCGTGGTAGAGCGCACCTGTAGTTCCAGCTCCTTGGAAGGCTGAGGCGGAAGGATCGCCGGAGCCCAGCAGGTCGAGGCTGCGGTGGCCGGGAGCGGCCACTGCACGCCAGTCTGAGCGACAGTGAGACTCCAACTCAAAAATAAAAAATAAAAACAATAAAAACAATAAAAAATAAAAATAAAATAAAATAGCACTAACCTTCAAAGTTTCATTTGGACCCTCCATTCAGTGAGCTGCAATTGCTGTTTAGAAACAAATCAAGGAGAGAGGAATATTGTAGAAAATGCCCTAGCTCTGCTCAACTGTGACCTTGTATGAATAACTTCATTTCTAGAGGTTTTGGTTTTCTCATTTGTGAGATGAAAGGATGAGAGTATGTCATCTTTACTGTCCCTTCTGTCCCTTTCTCGGCCCCAAAGTGTTTCTCTAATTCTAAATATTGTTAGCATTTAAGAGCGGGGGAACAGAAGTCAGCGAGGGTAACTAGGTCATGAAAGGGCACTCTGGAAGGACTGAAGACAGGACCTCCCAGGTCTCCTGCCACTCAGTGCATTCTAGCAAAACACACACAGTGCCACCGCATGCTGGTCACCGGGTGTTCCTCAGGTTAGGAGGAATGAGTGAGGACACCGCCTCCTCCCTACTCAGGGCATTGAAAGGTCACCTTGTGGCTGGGGACAGGCCCCCTGGGAGTGGAGTTTCTCTAATGCCTAGAATTGTGTACAATTCAAAATCTGCCACTGCTCCCAATCTGGGCTAAAGGAAAGGGGAAATCAAACGGAATAAAAATGTGTGTGTATTTACACTTTTATTTATTATTGTGCCACTTAGCACTGCTCCATCCCCTGCCCCGGAAACAATTTAGAGCCCTTCGGTCCCGTGGTACAGCGGCAGCAAAAGGTATTATATTAGTTAACGCTAAGATCACTAACCCTTCCAGATTCGGGAAATGGGAAGATTCACCTGTGTAGGCTCTCTCAGGGAGGCATATTCTTCATTATCAGAAACCAGACAGAAAAATTAATGTGGGCTGACCCTCGCCTGGGTCATTCACCACCTGTCGGTTCTCTCCAGCTTCCTAAAAGCGACACTTACTGACACCTCCTGCTTTAGGCGGGCGGGCACTGTGTCAGCAAACGGAGGAGCAGCGCTGGGTGGGGTGGGGAAGGCTTTCGTCCCTGCCGTCCCAGAAGGCGCCTGCAGGACACTGTACCTTGTGTGTTTCAGGGGAGAAATGCCGAAGCTTCCTTGAACTCACACCACCAGCCGAGAGAGGTGAGAAAGGACTACTGGAATTTGCCACGTTGCAAGGCCTGCGTCACCCCACTCTCCGATTTGGAGGGAAGCGGTTAATGGAGAAGGCTTTCCTCTCCCACCCTCCCTTGGGGCTCCTGGCAAGTATGTGTCTGATAAGGAATTCACAGTCGTTACCCTCCAGCCGGGACTCTCTGGATCTAAACCGCACTGAGATCTCCTGATTTCTCTTCTGAGCCCCTTAGGTTGATACAAACTCCTCCTAGAGCTGATTTTTCATTCATATGCAGGAATGCAAAAAAGGAACAGCGAGGATAAATAAGGTTCACAAATAGAAAACCACCAACAGCAAGTAACCATGGTGAAAAGCTTAGGTTTTTCCTCCAATTTTCTTCTCTTTTTTTTTGGTGTAAAATCCAGGGAAAGTAAAGGAGAGAGGGAGGGGGAAGGGAAGGAAGGGGAAAAGAAACAAAATAATCCCAAAATTAAATCAGGAAAAAGACAAAAATGATAAGTAGCAAAGTTCCATCCCTGCGGGGTTTATATTAGATGATTTCTTGTCAAATATCCCTATCGGTATTTACAGTCAAGCAAGTTTACCTAACATATATTGGGTTCAGAGTGGGAGCTTCTGGTGACGTAAAGAACAGGAAATGACGTAAAGTTCCTAACTGCTTTCAGCTTTGCCTCATTTTAACCTTCTTGGATGCTGCTAGGCTTTGTTTGTTTGTTTGTTTGTTTGTTTTTTGAGTCGGGGTCTCACTCTGTCACCTAGGCTGGAGTGCAGTGGCATGATCATGGCTCACTGCAGCCTCAATCTCCTGGTTTAGGCGATCCTTCCACCTCTGCCTCCCGAGTAGCTGGGATTATGGACATGTGCCAACATGCCCGACTAATTTTTTTGATTTTTTGTAGAGACGAAGTTTTACTATGTTGCCTGGGCTGGTTTCAAATTCCTGGGCTCAAGCAATCCTCCCGCCTAGGCCTCCCAAAGTGCTGGGATTACAGGCGTGGGCTTTTAACTTCAAGCTTCCTAAATTCACCGCTAGTTCAGTTATGCAGCTGTCAGGCTGAGTGTTCCTTCTTCCTGTGGTTTCTGACAGAAGTCCTATGGTTATCACTTGGAGCCCAGATCGCCTACATTGGACTTCAATTCATCAGCTTCCTCCTGCTGCTAACGGACTTGCTGCTCACTGGGAACCCTGGCTGTGGGCTCAAACTGAGCGCCTTTGCCGCTGTTTCCTCTGTGCTGTCTGGTGAGTGACTCCGAGGGTGAGGAGGGTGGTTGGCCTTAGCCACCTTGGAAGCACTTGGGGTGGAGGGAGTGCTTGAGTCTGTCTCATGTGGGGGAAGAAGAGCCCAAAGGCAGCATACAGGAGGCAGGAATACATTGCAAGCATCTTTAACTTTAAAAGGAAATAACATGTTAAATTGTCTGTTGGACCATTATGTATTTTACAGAATGATTTACCTCCAGGTCCCTTTATTTGGACGCTTTCTCAATATGTAAAACCCCTTGTTTGGTGTACTTTTCAGTTGTGACACACACACATCTTACGTTGGATAGAGTGAGAGACGCATATGTAAGATGAAGAAAGATGCCAACACTGGGGGTGGGAGGGGAGAAGTAAAGAGGGTGGTGGCGGCTCTGGGTACAGCATTGACTCACAAGCTTTTTCTATAGCTCTCAGCCTATAGTCTGGGGTCACCTGGAGAAGCCCTCGCTGCAGACTAGTGCCTTCCAGAAAAACGTGGCGACATAGGGGTAGTGGAACACCCCAGTACTGTCTGTGCCTGAGCAACATGAGGAAGTTGCTTCAACTTCGTATTCCCAGTAGGTGGCATGACAGCCTTTCTCTAAGGGCTCTGCCCTCCTGTTCCCTCCATAGGTCTCCTGGGGATGGTGGCCCATATGATGTATTCACAAGTCTTCCAGGCAACTAGCAACTTGGGCCCAGAAGACTGGCGGCCACATGTTTGGAACTACGGCTGGGCCTTCTAGTAAGTGCTTGCCAGCTCCTGAACCTTTTAGCCCTCTGCCCAGCCAACCTGCATTAGAGTTTCTGTCCTCCGTGAGAGATGTCCTCCTGCTTTTTCCTCACACTTCATCCCAGAATGTCAGCTAAACGTAGGGCTGGGTCCTCAGGACACATATGCTCTGTCCCTGCCTTCTGAGAAGGTACAGGGAGGATTCCTCTGGCTTGTTTGGGGAGGATGTTGTCACGTACAGTTGTTTCTGCTCATCAGCTGTATGAGAGCATCTGCTCTTCATCTGGTATGTACGCTTTCACCCTTGGGAAACAAGACTGATTTTGTACGGCTTAAGAAATGATGCTCTCTACGTGTCATGATTCAACGCATTGTAGGACAGAGAAACAGAGAATTAGCTGTGAAAGTTGGATTGAATTCCATTCCCTGTAAATGGTTCGCTCTTCTGTAACAGAATAGAATGACTTCTTCCTTCTACCTCCATTCTTATTCTACCAAACTGTGTCAGAAATAAAACTTCCTTACCACCGTTATTCTCTGACCTTTAAAGAACTAAGGGATCAGCATTTTAGATTTCTCTTAAAAAAGAGAGACACAGCAACCATGACAACGCAAACACATTCAAGTTAAACACTCCCTTTACAAGCTCCTTCCTTCCTCTTCCGAGGAACATGCTTTATTGGCAAGAAGTTGACAACTTGTACTAACATTAACTGCCTGGGATAAGTGCTAAGTACTTTAAGAGCACTGAAGAGACAGTGTTGGGCTCACGTTTCCATTCTGAGAAGGAAACCTCCACGTGTCTCTTTTGAGGCCCTATCCCCTTGCTTGTGGTTCACTGTGCGCTCTTGATTTGGGAGTCTTGACTCTTATCAGTTACCACATCAGCTCAGTGCATTTCTCAGGCCCACTTTTTATCTGTCTGCAGGCCCTTCTTGGCATTACAAGCACGGAGCCCAGAATAGGCAACTCCCAGCAGAGGCTTCTCTGAGTTTGTCAGAGGCAGATAGGAACATACAGTGCCAGCATGTGGCCTGGCTTTAGCCATCACTTGGCCTCATGAAATCCCTCCCTAGCCTCACAAAACTTCCTGTTTCCTGAGCTTCCCACAATCATGGGGAGATTTAGCGGTTTGACTTTCCATGACTTTAGGAATGTGTTTGATATAGTTCCCTAGTGTCTTTTTTTTCTCCTTTCTTGAATCCATCCAGCTTCTCTTAATCTCTAGCTTCTCTCTCACCCATTATGAACTCTCTTAAGCCAAGAACCACATTGTTTTTATAAGATGCATTCCACTAGTGCAACCTATAATAGCTCCAGATTTGTTGTAAATGTTTTCCTGAATGACTCTCAAAGGCTCAACTTTGTGGACCCTAAGACTGCTAAATTCAAAACAAGGGGAATGATTCCTCCCAGCATCCCAGTGGGGGAAAATCTTTGGCAGGGTGTGTGTGTTGGGATGGGACAGGCAGGAGGAGGTAGTGCATTAAGCTGTCTCTACTGTATACAGGCCTGTGGAATCTTAGAGATTTCACAAAGATAACTGCAGCTTGGGAAACAGTAGTCCAAATACACACATACAACAGGCCCACCAGGCATACAAGAACATGGCATTGACAACTAATCAATTCAGTGAAATCAAGTTCATTACACTTGTCTGATTTTTTTTTTTTTTTTTTTTTTTTTTGATGAAGAGACAAGGTCTCACTCTTTTGCCCAGGCTGAGGTACAGTGGTGCAATCATGACTCATTGTAGTCTCAAACTCCTGGGCTCAAGTGATCCTCCTGCCTCAGCCTCCCAAGTAGCTGGGACCACAGACATGCACCATCACACCTGGTTAATTTTTATTTTTTGTAGAGAAGGGCCTTTCTATGTTGGGATTATAGATACGAGCCACTACACCTGGTCTACTTGCTTGATGTTAGTACTACATGAGAAGTACTAGAAAACATCATGTCCTGTTGCCCACAGTTCTTTACTTGAAACATGGTAAAAGGCAGCACATTCATGTCCCTAAATCCCTAGGGGGCATTAGGCTGGTCTGCTGTTAGGAAGAGGCCATTGCAATTTTCTTTTAAGAAAGTCAGAGTCGTACTGACCGATTTTTCTGCACATTTGTCCCTAGCATGGCCTGGGTTTCCTTCACCTGCTGCATGGCATCAGCTGTCACCACCTTCAATACGTACACCAAGATGGTACTGGAGTTCAAGAACAAGCACAGTAAGAGCTTCAGAGGAAACCCGAATTGTCTACCACATCACCACCAGTGTTTCCTTCAGCAACTATCGTGTGCAGCCCCCCCAGCAGGTCCTTTGACCGGCTACCAGTACCACAGTCAGCCCGTCCACTCTGTCTCTGAAGGAGTCGACTTCTACTCAGAGCTACGGAACAAGGGATTTCCACAAGGGACCAGCCAGGAGCCGAAAGAAGCGGTTAGGTCATCTGTAGAGGAAGAGCAGTGTTAGGAGTTAAGTGGGTTTTGGAGAGCAGGCTTGAGCCCTACTTTACATGTTTGTTTGTGATCAACATGTGCTTAAGCCAAAGTCTGTCTCTCGAGCATGGATTTTGGAGGCTACCAATAAGGGTATCTTCGAGTCCAAGGGGGTGCTTGGGTGCTCATGCTTATTTCCCCCACAGATCTGTCTGTTCCACCCACACTCCCACGCCTATCTCATGCCTCCAGAATTTTCTTCTCTCCTTTAGTGACTGATCCTATGCCAGGTTCTGAGCTAAACCATGGAGATAAAGAGAGGAGTAAACTACCATTCCTGTCCTTCAGGGTCTGATAAATCTAGTTAGCTGTCTGAAAACTGAAGAAATGGAGGTTAGTAAATTAATGGTAGTTTGACTGTGGCTCTACTATCCATGGTTACACGTGGACTTTTCTGAAAGTAGTGGGCTGGAAGATGGAAGAACCACTAAGTGCTTTGGTATGTAGCACAGACATCCTCCACAATGCTATGACAGTGTCATGCATCCACGTAGGAGATCCCCAACAAAAATGTTATTAAAGATTGTCCTGGGAACCATTAGGAGTATAACAGGAAAAGGTTCCTGCAGCACACAGGGTCAGCTTCACTTCTAGAAACAGGCCGCCAAGTCTAGTAGTTTGGGACTGTCATCTTCCAGCGGAGAATCGTATCAGGGACTTGGCCCATGCACAAGTCTAGGGCACAGGCTCCTCTCTGGATCCCACCTTCCATCCCTTTTGAGAGATTACCTTATTACTCCCCTAAAGAATCCCACCCACTCACCCTTTCTCTTTTCCATAAGAGTAAACAACCATCCTTGATGGCTAAGAAGAATGAGGATGGCACACAAGTATATTCCTGAACATAGGCTTTATTCTATAACAGTTCACATTTTAAATAGTGCTTCCTGACAATATACCAGCTGCTCTTCTTTAATAAGGGCAATAGAGATAGCAGTTCACATTCCTGGGGATTAGTATCACCATACCACACACGGGGGATGGCAACGAAGTTGTCAAGGGTGGAAGGGGATGGTTTTTAAGGGAAGGAAAAAAGAATGGGAGGAGGGGTAGACCCTAGCATTTGCAGACATCATTGCCATTTCTAAGTAGTGGTCATACTGGCTTGGCTGAAGATCTCATGCTGGGATGGGGGGAGAAAAGGGGCACTTCCTATCTTAGGTTTCTGGATGGGTGGCTCCTACAAGATGAAGGAAGTTTAGGGACATGTTTGACCAGAGACCAGCAACCACACTGGCCAGATAAAGTGTCCTCAATCTTCAGCCATCACTGACACCTTTCTGTCCTGGCTGCAAGAGGAAAAAGAAACCCAGGCTTGCAGTGTGCTTAGCAAGAGAGATCACTTATCACAGGAAAAAAAAATCTATGTTAAGTTCATCTGCAAATATTCTGTGAAGAATTCAGGGACATTGTGTTTTCCTAGTTTTCGTCTATTTCTGGGATTCACCTGAATAAACAGTCTTCTGCCCAAAACAATTCCACCAAAAAGGTCCTCAATAAACAACTTCGCAATTCACTCCTGCCTATAGTAGCTGGCTTCTCAGAAAGCTTCAACGTGCAAGAAGACCAGTGTATGCCTAGATGACTCCGCCAGGCCACAGGACCACCACCCAAGTTATGGGTTCAGCTGACTCTAAGTTCATCTTAAGAATTCTGTACTAAGCCGGGCTCGGTGGCTCAGCCTGTGATCTCGTGCTTTGGGAGGCTGAGGTGAGTGGATAGCCTGAGCCCACGGGTTCGAGACCCGCCTGGGCAACTTGGTGAGACCTCATCTCTACAATAAAATCAAAAAATTAGCCGGGCGTGGTAGCGCATGCCTGTAGTTCCATCTACTTGGAAGGCCGAGGCGGAAGGATGGCTGGAGCCCAGCAGGTCGAGGCTGCAGTGGCCAGGAGTGTGCCACTGCACTCCAGTCTGGGTGACTGAGAGTCTGAGACTCCAGTCTGAGACTCCAACTCAAAAAAAAAAAGAATTCTATACTAAGTCACCCTAGATCCTAGGCACGTATGCCCAAAGAAATTACAACCCTAGAAATGAGTCTGGAATCATTCCTGTACTGTAGGGTATCTTCTTGTTTCCCCCCAAATAAAGTAGGGCTCACACAACTTCCAAAGAGTTGAAACCCAATTGTTTTCAGGGTCTTAAGGCAGAAGTACCCAGAAACCTGGTAAGGCCAATCTGTAGACCAGACAATCTGCAGGCCAAACTACATCCTTGCCTGGATGTAGAGCTACCAACCTCCTGTTCTGTCACAATGTCAGTATTAGATATCCCTTTAAACTTGGAATCCATAATTTTCTAGAATCCCTTTATTAATACAAGCGAAAAAGATCCATGCTCAAGGAAAGCAAGAACCTTGGCTGTAGTCAGGGATGACCTATCAAAATTACTCAAGAAGAAAAGCAGTTTTCCACCAGCTAACGTAGGATTTTCTGCTATATAAACAATGGCCTAGAAGTTGACAAGAGAACTTAACAGAATTAAGAGATTTTATAGAGAAGGGAGAAGTTAGCACTGGAGATCATTCTAAAGAACCTGACCATTTATAAAAGTTATAGTATTTACATAAGCATTTTCCCAAAATACAAGGCTTCAAAGGTTCCACAAGGAAGGCGAGAGGCAGGGTAGAATGGTTGCGCTCCGGACTCAAGTAGCAAAGCAGAAATCCAGACACATATCCCTGAATAGAAGAGAAAGCGGAGTGACAGGAGGTAAGGAGAATGCCCTGTAAGAGAGGATGCAGAGTGGAGAGGAAGTAGGATGAGGACATTGACCTCAAAGGCTCCTGACTTCTAGTTCTCCTCCAAGTTGAAGACAGCATGCACACAAAACACTTCTGATGTGCCGCAGAGAAAAGATTATGACTGGCAGAATTACCAAAGCACATGTAACATATGAACTTGACCCAGACATGGGTCAGTGAGACAATATGCTCTTGCTCCCCTTGTGACAGGAATATGGTTATTCATGTGACTTAACAGATATGCAGAAAGGCTGAGGAAACAGGATACTTAGGACAGGGAAGAGATGAAAATGCAGGGATGGCTAATCCAGTCTTCACCACCGGTCCTTCTCACGGCTGACTGCAGTTTGGAAGCAGCCAAAGTACGGCGGGGAAAGAATAAGAGAAATGAGTAGCCCTGAAATCAGAGCTGGGCCAGCTGGAGTCTCAAGATGACCAGCAAACCAAATACATTTTAGAAGGACGAGAAACCGGATCCCTGAAGCTTAGGACATATCTGGAAAATAACTTCACCACCACATTAAAAAAATAAAAATAAAAAGCAGCATAATGCAAAACAGAATGTTTCCTAGTCATAGACTTCACCGGATTTCCCAGCAAGAGTTTATAAATTAGACATACAAAAAAATAAAACACTTCTAAGATTCACATTTCCAAACTAGACACACAGAATTCCTAAAAGGGGTTAATGCAGGGACTCAAAAGGTTGGGAAGACATCCCAGCCAAGGGGACCATGCTGACAAAGAACTCCAATGAGCCAGAGTGTTCTGCCACAACGCAAGGAAGATGGAAACGAGGCTAACGTCGCCTGTCTTCTCTCCAAAGACCTGATTTCACTCTGGACAAAAGAGCAGGTGGATGTATTTTGTTCACTTCTTCTGAAGCTGAAGATTCCATCAGACTAGATCTATGGAAAAAGATGGATGTATCAGTGACTCTGCTGTTTTTCATGATAGAGATTCTCAAAGCAAAGGAAAACATCTAAGGACCAGAATAGTCCTTCATGTCCCCATCCTCTTCTTTAGCCCCAATAGTCTATAAGTAGCTCCTCCTTCCTCAGAAAGGCCCAGAGAATTTGTTCGTTTCTATGATAAGTTCTTTCTTTTTTTTCTTAAATTTTTTTTAAAGAGATGGGGGTCTCACTATGTTGCCCAGGCTAGGGGGCAGTGGTTATTCACAGGCATGATCTCTCTACTGATCAGCACAGGGGTTTTGATCAGCTCCATTTCCAGCTTGGGCTGGTTCATCCCTCCTCAGGCAACCTGGTGATCCCTGGTCCTGGGAAGTCACCATATTGATGCCGAACCTGCAGACACCCGATCAGCATAGCACTCTACAGCCCAGAACTCCTGGATTCATGCAATCCTTTAGCCTCAGCCTCCCAAGTGGCTGGGACTACAAGTATGTGCCACTGTGCCCAGCCATAATAAGCTCTTAGGCCAGGCGTGGCGGCTCACACCTATAATCCCAGCACTTTGGGAGGCCGAGGTGAAAGGACTGCCTGAGCCCACAGGTTCAAGACCAGCCTAGGCAACTTGGCAAGACCTCATCTCTAAAATAAATTTTAAAAATTAGCCAGGTGTGTTGGTGTGTGCCTGTTGTTCCAGCCACTTGGAAGGCTGAGGCGGAAGTATCTCCTGCGCCCAGCAGGTTGAGGCTGCGGTGGCTGTGAGCATGCCACTGCCCTCCAGCCTGGGCAACAGGGTGGGACTCCAAGTAAATAATAATAATAATAATAATAAACAGCCGGGCTTGGTGGCTCTGCCTGTAATCCCACGCCTTGGGAGGCCGAGGTGAGTGGATTGCCTGAGCCCGCGGGTTCGAGACCCGCCTGGGCAACTTGGCAAGACCTCATCTCTACAATAAATCAAAAATTAGCCGGGCGTGGTAGCACGCACCTGTAGTTCCAGCTACTTGGAAGGCTGAGGCGGAAGGATCACCGGAGCCCAGCAGGTTGAGGCTGCGGTGGCCGGGAGCGGCTACTGCACTCCAGTCTGGGTGACTGAGTGAGACTCCAACTCAAAATAATAATAATAATAATAATAATAAACTCTGGAACTTTGAATTAGACCACAGTATTTCCGTATTTCTTGGGGTGGGAGAGGGAAGAGAACACTAACATTTTGAGCAAGATAAGTATGTAACTGCTACAAGCCCCGCATGACATTTAGCATCACTAGGCCTAACCCAGAAAATACCAGTAGTATCGACCCCTCTCAGTCATTGGGACAATAAAAACCACTGACCCACATTTCCTAACTGTGCCCTCATGGTACTTTTTCCAGCTAAAAACAAACTACTTCTTTGTGGTCACATAATACCTTTAGAAAATGGTGCTGGTCCAAAACAACTGTCTCAAGACTCATCTCCTCAGGAAAGCTCCCCATACCACCTACTTCCCAAAGGACAAAGCTGAAGTTGGAAGTATTTGTCCTAAACTCTTACGAGTAACTAAGTATTTCTGAAGCTGTTCACCTCATAGGGGGCAGCAACAAACTTTATTCGAGAGAGGAATCTTCGCAGCTCCCCGCGGCCAATTTTGGGGGTGGTCTCCTGGAACTGGGTCACCTGGCCCTCCATCAGTGCCCACCGTAGACTGAGCTTGCTGACCACCAGGGCTGCTGGATGGCCTTCGGAGCTTGGTCTGGTTGCCCTGGTCACGTAAAAGGCGTCTTTCCAGAGGTCGTTAATTCCCACTGAGGAAGGAAAAAACAAGAACAGTTAGCAAGAACACAGACCTTCTACCAGCAGGAGAGTGGTTTGGCTCAGAAACTCATTAATTCCTTCATTTACTCATTAGTTCACACAACAAATGTACTAAGCATCTGAGAAGCACAAGGCAGTGAGCTAGATGAGGGATACAAAGAGGTGAAGGACTGGAATCAGGGAAAGCAGCACGCCTGTCCTGGTCTTTGTACCTTTATTCCTCTAAAGCTTCAACTCAGGAAATGAAAGAACATGCCCATTATGGCGAGAATCCATAGAAAAGTGAGCCCAACAAACCTGGAAGCCTAAGAATTCCCACAATGTCAGTGTGTGGTCATGTAAGTCACTTACCATGCCAGTGCTTATTTAGTCTTATCTTTAAAATAGAAGTTGTAATAAAGACAGTCTCAAGATTGTTAATTTCCATCATTTAATGTTCGCTGGATAATATTCCATGCTCATTCTGAAAGATAGCTCACCTAGATCCAACACAGAATTTTGCAAGTTGCTACCTCCCCACCCCCAGCCGGTAGACAAGTATGCCCGCAAGCTCTGGGGGAGCTGTCCTTTCCCAGTAACTCACAAGCCACAGGCACTATGTGCAACCCAAAACAAATGAGTTTGAAAGTAGAGAATCAAGTCTGTAAGTGGCAAGTGGATGTGAAAGAAAGGAGAGAAAAGGAAAGGAAGGGAGGCGAGAAGGGAGGAAGGGAGGGAGGATAGGAAAGAAAAGAAGAAAGACATGGCCAATCTGGGCTTCCCCCACTTCCCAACCCCACAACAGGAACAGCAGACTCCTGAGGAGTCTGTGGAGGTCATCAGATGACCACACCAGGAGGCTCTCCAGGTTTCGGTGTCCTGAATTAAGGGTCTCCAAAATACGATTCCATTTTGCATTACAATATTAAATAGATAGATAAAATAGAACACTTCCAAAATGTCAACAGTGGTAATAAGTGGTCAGATTATGGGCAATTTTTCTTTTTCCCTTTTTCTCCTTTCTCCAATTTCTATGCAATGTGCAAGGTTATCTTTTTTTTTTTTTTTGGTCTCTACTAAATCAGTGCCCTGACAAGACACATTCTAGCTCCATCACATCCCCCACAGTTAATTCCAAATCCTAAGCTCCAAGAGGATCAAAAATCTAGTCTCATTTGTATTCCCAGCAGCTGGCACAGTGTCCAGCATAGAGCTGACACTCAGTGATGTCTGCTGAACAAGGTGAAATGGCCATCACCCTAGTGCCCCTTTGGAATGTGAATGCACCTTTATCTCAACTTTCATCCCATTCAACCACATAGATTCTCACTCCGTGAGCCTGGCACCACCTATAAGGAGCATCCCGGCAATGCCTCAGCACCAGGGACACCAGGGAAAATGCCCTGCTGTCACCTGAAAAGAATAGTCCGCCCCTAGGTGGGCAATGGCCTCTTCACACACGGCCGGCACATACTCTCCCCTCCCCCGTCTGTGAACAGGGACACCCACCTACACTGGGACTCACCTTCCGAAGCCGTCACTGTGCCTGTGGTGTTGGCCAGATCCAGAAGGATGGAAGGGAAGGCAGGATGCAGGAGGTAAAGGTGGTGAAGGCTAGGCACCTCAGCTCCTAGGATGATATCCTGACAATGAGCCACAAAAAGGAAGAGCAAAGGTAACTCTACATTCCCACATGGATATCATGGCGATTCCTCATTCCTCTCAAATGCTGACACTCAATCTCAACTATAGTAAGTCCTACATATTAACAAGTTTCATTCCAGAAGCGTGTTTGTAAGTCCAATTTGTTCATAAGTCCAACAAAGTTAGCCTAGGCACCCAACGGACACAATCAGCTATAAAGGACTGTACTGCAATAGGTTTATAATATTTTTCACACTAATCATAAAAAATAAAACATTTTTAGTCTTATAGTATAACACGTGACAATGTATGTGACTGGACATGCAAATGCATGTTTGCATCTTTGAAAGTTCACAACTTGAAGGTTTGTATGTGGAGGATTTACTGTACAAGGATGTGTTTGAAAGAAATTCCTATATATAGGAGACATATTCCAAGAGTTCGCAACACTGACTAATCACTAATCCCTTCAAATCTCTACCTACAGCTTCAAAATGTTTTTTCCCTTATAAAAAAAATGGAAAGAAGGAAATGAGCGTGCCCCAAGAGAGGACTTTGATGCAGAGATTTGCATTCTCCTACCCAAGGAAGCACCGGAACACTGGCTCACCCCTTACAGCAGATGGGACTTTGTAGAGATAAAAATCTATCTATGAAAACATAGTGACCCAAAGACATTTCCTTTCATCGGATATCAAAGCCAATTGTATACATCAGGCTAAAAATAACAAAAATCTTATCAGTTCCTGAAATCAATGGAATATTGACCAGACAGAAGCAAATAAATTATAAAATAAAATTCCAAGGCCCAAGTGTCAGTCTCCAAAGTCCCTACAGCAAAAGACATGTACACTGACTTCTGTGCAGGGAAAAGACCTGAGGCTTGGCAGGTGTGTATGTGGGCAGTCACACAGTTGGCAAAGCACAGAATGTGCCCATGTGTACATTGTAAAGGGTTGTTCTCCTGTGCTCCCCAAGTATCTCCCCTGCCCGGGACCACCCTGGGCCTCCCACAGTGGGAGGAAGAAAAGCCCTGAGGAATAAGTATCTCCCCTGCCTCCCTCCCTTGGCCAGGGAAGAAGGCCCCACAGGAGGAGAAGTGTGGGCGGGAAGCTTGCAACCTTACTCCCACCACATGCCCACAAAGCAGAAAGGGCATTTTCCAACACCCTAAGGGTCTCAGATATGAAGGGACCACTAACAAGACAAGAAAATAGCCAAAAAGCTTTCCTCACTGCCTACAGAATAAAGCCCACATTCTTTGCATGAAAACCAAAGTTGTATACTATACCATCTAACCAAAACCTGCCTTTTCCAGACTTCAACTGCAATTATCTACCTGCTCATCCCACACTGCACAGATATCTGATTATCACCCTAAACACCTGCTTCACTTCATTCTGTCTAACCCTTGCCAATCTTATTTCCCCCAAAACTGTCTAAGCACCCTCTTTTTTCCATCTCCACACATTAAAACACTTCCTGTCCTGAGGTTCCCACTCTTGCATGAAAAGCTCCCTAATTACCACAAGCAGATAAAATGCTCCTCTCCTTTCATTTGTCCATCTAAACCCCTTATTTGTCTCAGAACATCTTTAGCATGCCTTTGTTTTGTACTTATTTATAGAAGCTTACATTGGAGAGTCATCTTGGTCTAATCCTCTCATTGTAATATAGGAGTAGGAGGAAACCAGAAAGTTTAAAAGCTAGGTAAATTGCCCAGGGTCACATGTTAGGGCGTGGCAGAGCCAGCACTATAGACTTTAGGCAAATCTGATCCTCGAAATGAGGGACTAGAACTGCATCTTCATTAATGGATGAAGAACACAAGGCTCGGAAAAGCTGAGTAACTTGTAAGAGCATCTGGTTGATGTACGCAGGACTTCTCCCTTCATCAGGTTTCCCCTCTGTCCATGGACACCTGCTTTGTCTAGAGGGTCATTACTATGTCCACTTTATCCTCAGATCTCTACAGAGATCACAGCATCTGGCACACAGTGCTGAGTCTAGAGGTGTTTCATGGAACTAAGAAAGCGTGGGTCTAACTAAAATCCCCCAGGCACCTATTCCAGTGCAGCAGCCTCATCAAACCATTACAATTCTGCAGTGGAACAGTTAAGACTTTCTAAAATCTGCCTTCCAGGTGTCAGACTTTCTCTCCCTTTAAGTCTCCCAACTGACCTCTCAGCTTTAGCCTGGTAAAGGTCCCTCTTGAATTGCTGGCCACCCTCCTCCCTCCCTGCCCCTACACCTCAAGCCCAACCCTACCCCTCCATGAAACTTTCTCTCCCTACTCCAGAATGAGTTATCTGTACCTCTGGATTGGGTAGCTTGAGAGGACTGTTTGTTCTCTACTTCCCAGCCCCTCACTGTTGGTAGTCAGTAGTCAGGGACTCTTGACAGCATTCAGGTTCTTGACTGAAAGTGTAAGGTGGGGAAGCGAGGCTCAGGAGGAAACAGGGCTCCTGCTTTTCCCCAGAGAACACCAGTTTGTTTCTACTCCTAGCCCCGTGGAAGGTAATTGGTCAAATAACATCTCCAGACCCCAGTCAGACCTGCGGAGCAGCTGCCACCTGACAGAGTGAAAAAGGGACCCTCCCAAGTTCACTCACAGAAGTGGGAGATGTGGCCGACAGCCCTTCAGCCCAGAAGAGGAAGACAGACTTCTGGTCTGAAGTAACTGCTGAGGTGGTTGGCGTCTCCTTCATGTGACATGGAGTGCTGTAACTCCAGATAATGGAGCCAGAGTCCCCATCTACCACCATCATCTGCAAAAGAGAAGATAGAGAGTGGTCACGGCCAGGCCTTAGAAAAGCCTCAGGCCCAGGAAACACCCCAAAACAGGTATCCAAATAATACAGATATTAACAGGTTGAGCTTCTAAAAGGTAATCAGATGGGGTGTTCAGAGAGTATTGCAAATGGTGAGGAGCCAGGACCCAAGCTTCTGCAGCCCGTTTTCCCATTTAACAGGGTGCAAAGAGCTGCAAGGTTCCCAAGTGGGAAGGGGACATGACGAAGCCTCAAGTCCACCTCATTTTACAAGTGAGAATAGGAGGTACCGAGACAAAGTGACATGGAGACACGGACTGTCCACGTTCAGGCAGTCCTCCGGCAGAGAGCAACCACTCTACAGATGCCAGCATCCCATTCCCCCCAAACCTGTAATTGCCACTCAGGAAACAAAGATCCAGTGAACACTGTCCCAGGTACCGTGTCTTGAGCTTTATGGATCTGACTCTACTGGTGTCATGGCATATGTGGCTCAGCCCTAGGGTAATCTCAAATGTAAAGGAGCACAGTTTAGATTTCATTCCTCAGTTGCATCTCTCAAAGGATCCTGGAGGGGTTCAAATTCATAATCCTGGGAGCACTTATGTCTGCTCCTCACCCCAAATGCCGCAGAGCTCACAGATCCACAGTCTCTCATTTGCCAAATTTCCAAGAAGCCCTCCACCCTACCCCACCTCCAGCCCCGGTGTCTTTAAACCCTCCTCAGTGTCTCGGTGCTTCCTAAGTGGAGGACCTAGCCTCCTGAGACGATCGCTTGCCCTAACCTTCCAAGCTCCTAAGTCCTGCCCTTCTCTGCCCATGCTCAGACTCCACATCATAAAAGGCTCTGGAATCCACTTGGCAGAGACTAGCTCTTCCGAATGGGCAGAGAGGGAAAAACAGATGAACAGTTTAAGACTGGGGAAAGAAAGAAGCCTAGAGACACTGCAATAAAAATTTGTATTCAGTCACACACATATATTATTTCATTTAATGATCACAATAACCCAGTGAAGACAGACATCATTTTCCTGTTTTGTAAATGCAGAAACTGCAGGGACGTAAGATTATATCATGTGCCCAAGGTCACCAGTAAGCAGTAGTATCAGGATTTTTTTTTTTTTTGAGTTGGGATCTCACTCTGTCACCCAGACTGGAGTGTAATGGCTGCTCCCGGCCACTGCAGCCTCGACCTGCTGGGCGCCGGCGATCCTTCTGCCTCAGCCCTCCAAGTAGCCGTAACTACAGGCGCACGCTACCTCGCCTGGCTAATTTTTTTGATTTATTGTAGAGATGAGGTCTCGCCAAGTTGCCCAGGCGGATCTCGAACCTGCGGGCTCAGGCAATTCACTCACCTTGGCCTCCCAAGGCACGGGATTACAGGCTGAGCCACTGAGCCTGGCCAGTATCAGGATTAAAACTCAGGGCTGAAACTCTCAGCATCTTAGCTCTTAGCCAACCTACTATATACCCATCTCCCTTAACCCTCTTTTGTACACCAATGAAAATTCCAATCTGTACCTGAAATTCCTTTGAAGTATAAGCAGACATTGCTTTTTTTCCTTATAAAGCACTGCTGGAAGACTCTCCCTGAAATGATGTTTGTCTCACTGTACCTGTCCTCTGCCCATGACCAAAGAACCATAGGGCCTCCAACACCTCATCCGAGTTCTGCTGCCTTGCTTTCGGGGTCCTCCATAAACTGACCTCATTCTGATCTCTCAGGTGGGAATACACCTCAGCCCACCTCATCTATCCACCCTGCAGCCTCTTCTCCACTCGTGTGATTGTGCACATATAACACCTGGCCAACACGATGCATCTCTTGAATCTCTGGCCCTCCAGCTCACCTGCCCTCTCTCTGTTCCCTGTGTTCCTGGTGGCTCTCTGTGCAAACATCCATGACAGAACTTTCCACAATGTGGTTCAGGTACCGTACCCAGGCACTATAGCCTACATAAGAGCAGTGGCCCTGTCTCCATTAACTTTGTGTCTCTAGCATCTAAACAGAACTTACACACACTAGTGGTGATGATGAAGTGTTTGTTGGATTCTTTGTCTCTCTCAGAAAACAGTTTCCAATATATAGATATATGAGGGGAGATCCAAAAAAACTGGAATTATTTTTTCGGAGGGTGGGACCCGTATAGTACAGGCCTCCCCCACTAAGTAAGTGTTCCAGGAACCCACTGGCATCAGTATACAAGTTAGTGTTGTTGTGAGAGGCCGTGTTGAGCTTCAGTGATTTTTTTTTTTTTGGAGAGTCTTTCAACATGTTTGCCCATTTCATGATGGGTGATTGATGAGCACACCTGCCCACACCACACTATGTGTTCAGCAGTTCTTGACCAAAATGCATGACTCTTGTCCCCCACACTCCATATTCACCTGATCTCTCTCTGAGTGACTTTTTTGTTGTTGTTTCCCCAATGAAAAAATTCCTCAAAGGGAAACACTTTGCCAATGTGGATGAAGTAAAACAAAAAAATGGCAGAAGCACTAAAAGGCATCAAGATTGATGAGTTCAAAAACTGTTTTGTGAGCCGGGCTCGGTGGCTCAGCCTGTAATCCCGCGCCTCTAGGAGGCTGAGGTGAGTGGATTGCCTGAGCCCGCGGGTTCGAGACCGGCCTGGGCAGCGAGACCTCATCTCTACAATAAATCAAAAAATCAGCCAGGCGTGATAGCACATGCCTGTAATTCCGGCTACTCGGAAGGCTGAGGCGGAAGGATTGCCGGAGCTCTGCGGTGGCCGGGAGTGGCCACTGCACTCCAGTCTGGGCGACAGAGTGAGACTCCAACTCAAAAGAAAAAAAAAAAAACTGTTTTGAGCAGTGGAAAAAGCATCTCAGTAGGCGCATTGCATCAAACAGAAAGTACTTTGAAGTTGACTGAAGTTTAAACATGTAAGAATAAATACACTATTTTAATAAATAAATTCCAGGGTTTTGGGGGTTTTCCCTTGTATATTTCATGGCGAATACCAGGTGCAGTGGCTCATGCCTATAATCTCATCACTTTGGGAGGCCAAGGCGGAAGGACTGCTTGAGTCCAGGAGTTCGAGACCAGCCTGGCCTCAAGCAAGGCATTGTCTCTATTTAAAAAGGAAAAAAAATGTAAAAAGATATATATTTCATGGTGATGACAGACCAAAAAAAAAAAAAAAAAAAGCATGGTCAATTATGATAAAGAAATTGTTTCAATTCTATAATTCTGCCCCTAATGTTGAAGGAGTGATAATTGTCTATCCAATCATTGTATCTTCACAATACACAACCTCATATAAAATCAGAAAGATCTATTTGGTGTCCTTGGAACATGCCACACCATGTCTGTCTCTGGGCCTCTGGTGGTGGTGTTTCCGACTTGGCTTGCCTTCCTGTGTACATCAATACAGTTCAACTTCCAAGACCCTGCTCATACTTCCCTCCTTTATAAGGTCTGCCATCAAAGCCCAGCCACTGCAGATACCCTACCTTCTCTGAAATCTTACGTAGGTACATGTACTGAAGTGTTACCATCTCACCAAGAGATTCTAGAAGGCACCTACTGCCTACCTATAAGGTAGGGAACCAGAAGGAACTTCTGTACTGGAAGGAGATTATCCTAGAAAAGTTCCCAAATCTGTCTATTTTAGCACTATACTATGAGTTTTAATTTTGTCCACTCAGTCAGACTTTGAGTTCTTTGAAGAAAGAGACCATATTTTAGGTTCTTTTCATTCCTCACAGTGCCTAACACAAAGCTGGACACAAAGTACATCCTTAATATATTTTTTATTGATTTACAGTCCAAAGTTTTACCTTTTTCATCCCAATTCCATCCTGTATCTGCAGAAGGAAGTCTAATGTCTGATCATTAGTGAAATATCCAGGAGTAGGCTGGCTGAAAATAAAGACAAAGGAAGCAATCAATAATGAATAAGAAAAACAGGAAAATTTTTTTTAAAAAACACATTTTTTTAGTTGTGCTCGGTGGCTCAGCCTGTAATCCTGTGCCTTGGGAGGCTGAGGTGAGTGGATTGCCTGAGCCCACGGGTTCAAG